GGAGTTTATTGAGATATTTCCCTACATCATCAAGTACAAGCAAGGTAAAGAAAACGTAGTGGCAGATGCGTTTAACTTCTTTAAGTGCTAGATTGCTCGGTTTTGAACATATTAAGAACATGTATGAAACTGACTTAGATTTTTTCGATAGTTACAAATCTTGTGAAAAGAGGACTGTTGATAAGTTCTTTAGGCATAAGGGTTATTTATTTGGGAAAAATAGGTTATGTGTTCCTAATTGTTCAATGCGAAAGTTGTTTGTGAGAAAAGCCCATAGTGGTGGACTGATGGGACATTTTGGGATACAGAAGACTTTGGAGAAGTTAAGCGAGCATTTCTATTGGCCTAAGATGAAAGTTGATGTTGTGAGAATTTGTAGTCGATGTATAACGTGTAAAAGGGCTAAGTCTAAAGTTTTACCTCAAGGATTATACACACCATTACTACACCTAGTGAACCATGGGTTGATATTTCAATGGATTTTGTTTTAGGTTTACCAAGGATTAAGAAAGGACGGGATTCAATTTTTGTGGTGGTAGATAAGTTTAGTAAAATGGCTCACTTTATACCATGTCACAAAATCGATAATGCCAAGCATATTGCTGATTTGTCCTTTAAAGAGATTGTACGTTTGCATGGGGTTCCAAAGAGTATAGTGTCAGAGAGGAACGTGAAGTTCTTGAGTCATTTTTGGCGAGTTTTCTTTGGTAAGTTAGGAACGAAATTGTTATTTTTCACAACTTGTCACTCACAAACCGATGGGCAAACTAAGATAGTCAATAGGACTATGACTCAACTCTTGCGTACAGTGATCGATAAGAACTTGAAAAATTGGGAAGAGTGTTTACCTTTTGTCGAATTTGCTTATAGTCGTGTTGTTCATTCTAGTACTTCATTTTCACCTTTCGAAATTGTTTATGGTTTTAATCCACTAACCCCTTTGGATTTAATTCGGTTACCTGTAAATGAGCGTAGCAGTTTAGATGGAAGAAGAAAAGCAGAGTTGGTAAAATCACTGCATGAAAAGGTAAAATTGCAAATTGAAAACAAAAACAGGCTCGTTACATCGCAGACAAACAAGGTAGAAAGCGTGTGACATTCGAACCAGGAGATTGGGTTTGGATGCATTTCAGAAAAGAATGCTTCCCAAAACAAAGGAAGTCAAAGTTACAAATACGGGTGGATGGTCCATTTCAAGTCATTGAAAGGATCAACAACAATGCATATAAGTTGGATGTACCAGGTGAGTATAATGTTTCAGCAACTTTTAATGTGTCTGATCTTTCTCTCTTTGATGTAGGTACATATTCGAGGACAAATCCTTTTGAAGAGGGAGGGGATGACGTGATCCAAGAATTAAGCTTGAAGACGACAAGTTCGAGACGAGACCCGTTGAAAATCGAAGGCGGACCGATGACACGATAAAGGGAAAAGCAAGTAAAACAAGCAATGGGATTGCTTGTTCAAGAAACCATTAATGGGACGATGCTCAGGATGCAAAACGAGACAACGTTCATGTTGGGGTCAAGAGCCAAAGTGAATTGTATCAATAAGATATTAGTGGACGAAGTTCAGGCCGAATCTCAATGCCATGCAACCGCATAGCATTGTAAAGTATGCGGTCGTATGCACCTCGATAGGGGACTCCAGAGGCGAGGCTGAATGAACCATGCGACCGCAAGTCCTAGAACCATGCGGTCACATAGGCTTAGGCGACACGCGAATTTTCCTTTTTCGCGTTTTTTTCCATAATTTTAGAATTTTATTCTTAGTCAAATTCTTATGATATTTGACGAATCTTTTCCATATTTTCTAGGATTTTAGAGTTCTATTCCTTTTATAACTTATATTCTAGGATTAGTATAAATATAAGTTTATTTCTTCCATGTAATGGATCAAACATTATTTTGTGAATTAATTGAAAGGCTGATTGCTTTCATTCATTGTTCTTCATTGAACTCTCTGAACTTATTAAGAATTATTCTTGTGGTGTTCTACAAATCAAGTGAGGGTCTTGGATTGTATAATCAAGGGGTCCTTCAAGCAACGCTCTTACCGGGTTTGTTAGTTCATTAATTTAAGGTTCAATTTCCAAACCTTTTATTTGGCTTTTTTGGATTTTGGAACAATCTAGTTGTGAGTTTCGTAGTCAAAACTACTATGGGATTTGCATCAAATATACTGTTGAGATTTATGGAATTTTAATATGACTCACACAGTAACTTAAAACAAGGAGCACTGATTCTTATACTACCGAACTTTCATGGAACCTTAATACGACTCACAAGTTTAAAGTAATGATTCTACAATGAAATTTCTCTTAATAAATGATACAAAAGAAATTAAGAACTAAAATGGACTAACATTTCAATGAATAGCAAATGATAACTCAAGTGTTAGATGTAAAACTTTGATGAATATAATAATTAAAAATTTGATTCAATCCATCATAGTTTTTCAATGAGAAAAGGAAGAAGAAATAAATATAATGTAATTTCAAAAATCTTCTCAAAATATACCTCGTTTTTAATGAATGATTGTAATAAATTAAGTATCAAGGGAGAAATAAAAAACTTTGATGAACATAATGATTTTATAAATTTGATTCAATCAATCAAAATTTTCAATATGAAGAAATAAAATAAAATAACTATGTGCAATGTAAGTTCAAAAATTTTCTTTGAAATATATTTCCCTTTTATGAATAATATAAATAAGTTAAGTATAAAAACTTTGATGAGAATGACAATTAAAGAGTTCGATTCCATCAAAATTTTTGATATGAAGAAAGTGTATAAATGTAAAGGCAAGTTCAAAGAATTATCTCAAAAAGTATCTCACTTTGATGCTCTTAAAAAATTTATGAGAAATGGAAAGTTTGGATGACATCTCCAGTTGACCACTTCTAGTCCGGATGATCAATATAACCATTTGTATAATAAAAATAGATGTTAGAATGGTCGAATTTTGGACCGTTGAACATTTTTGGTCGACCGTTCAACAGTTTCGATTTTTTTTACGTTTTGGTTCCTTTTGATCCAATTCAAAGGTTTTGTGGATTTTTGAAAAGTATTTTTTAATTAGGTTTTCAAGATAAAAGATATTTTTCAAGTTCAAATATCATTTTAAAAGTCATTTTCACATTTGATCATTGTATCAAAATAACTTTAAATGCACAAATTTGTTTTTAATGCATAAAAAGGTTTTTGAGCTTAAAACAAGTATTATTAAATAGCAAAGTATGAGTACCTTTATATTTGATCTAAAAATGTCTAGTTCTTGATTTTTTTTGGCTCTTAGACTCTTGTCTTGACCTTTCTTTGAAGTTCAGCTTTTAAATTCTTGATCTTGATATTTCTATGACGTTTGTCTTTTAAGATCTTGTCTTGAAGTACTTGTCTTGAATTTATGTGTTGCTTCAATTTTGACCTTATTCAGGAGTCTAATTTGTGATCATCTTGATTTTTGATCTTTTGACGATAATCAATCAATTTATCATCAAATACTCTGGAAACTATAATCAACTTTAAATACAAATGTAAGTAAACAAGTTCAATCTGTTTGTTATAATCAAAATTTTAAAGTTACAATCAACTATAGGTCAACAAGTACATGGACCAGTTCCAAATAGTTTAGATATTCTTTATTGTTAATGTGAGGTCTCGACCGTAAAAGGATTTTACTTGATGTCAATTAGAGCTATTTGTGGCCTCTCGTTGCATTCAATGGCATTTTCAGGTTAGCAAGTTTCTGTTTGTAGGAGTAAAAGTACTCCTTCCATTCCATAAAGATGGTCCTATTTTTTTTTCACACAAATTAAAAAAATTTAGTCAACATAGTTGAAATAATAAATTTTACTATCGTTTTTTCTAATATACCTCAATATTAATGTAATCAATATTCAACATAATTAAATTATGCATGCAATATTCAAGGGGATTTTGCTGTTTCTCCCAGGATTAGATCTAGGGCCGAGGTGATGCGACATCGGCCCTATTTTTGAATCGACCTCGGCCCTGTATTTGAATTTTAAAAATTCAGATCGAAAGTCGAGATCGTGCCACCTCAGCTCTGGATCAAATCCCCAGTTTTTGCAGCAAAACCCTATTCAACGTGATTAAATTATTCTTGGTACAAGACATTGTTTAGTGACGAATCAAAGTAATTAACATTCCATAGTCATCTAATACAAATCCAAATGAATAAAGGCCATGGAAGATGAAACTTTTTTCTACAATTATATAATGGAGTGATTTATATTTGTGATAACAACACACATTAAATTAGAAACTAATATATTAACTATACTCTCAAATAAGAAACGAAATTATAATTTGAGACTGACGAAAAAGAAAAATGGAACTATCTTTATGGGATTGATGGAGTATGTAATTAGGGGATCAATTAAGTTGTACAAGTGTAATTATTCTTTATTCCCAAACAACCATCTAAAAATTAACAAGATATTGCATCGGAAATGAAGTGCTCAAGCAATTGTTTCTCCTTTTGGCATCAAATTGGAATGGTCGGCAGCCAATTTCGAGACCCAAATATATATATATATATATATATATAAGGAGTGACAACCTTCCCCCGGGCTCGTCACTCAAGTAAATTGAATGCGATCACTATTCATACATACTTGAACCAAACATTCAAAAAAAGGTTTTCTTCCTTGTGGACACACCTTTACAACATACGAACGGGACCCTTAGATGATGACATAACGCACCATGACTTTATCTTCATGTGACTTCTACCTTTCAACATAAATGTTGCCTTCCAGCAATCAGGAAAACTCAAACCTTTAGTACTCAATAAAAAAACCCTCCTACTTTACCGCTGCATCATGCCCATGAAGGCGACCCAAATTCCATTTTGCTTTTACAGTGTAATGGTAATCTGTCAAGGAGGTACGAAAGTTGACATTAGTGATCAAACGGTGTTGAGTTGTGGGAACTCCCTGTAATTAGTAATTTCGCGTCAAAAGTGTTCCAGCAGATCCAATTTTTTAGTTTTATGACATTCCTTAACACCATCTATACACAAAATTAGAATATAATCAGAGCAGTGTAACATCATATGCAGCTTATGAAGAAAAAAAATTAAAATGCCTACACATCTTAAAGTGAAACTAAGATGGAGCATAATCTGACTCCAGAATTTGTTCAAATATGCAGTATATTTCCCCTACAAACTTGGCAGCATAATACCATCCACCCTCCAATCCAAGATGCTCATAAGTAGCAGCTTATTTTAGGGTGCTGTAACGATTCGTCCCATGCTTAGCCCAGTGATCTTTAAGATCGAGTGGAGTGGAAAAATCATAGCCATCTGCAGCAAGTCGATTAAGCAGCTTACCAAAAGCACTTCCACTCATCTTTCTACCACCAACTCTGGTGTAGCGTTTATTTGCCACCTGAGGTAATGGATACATTGAAATTGTTGTTGTGCAGCAGGCAGATTGCCATCCACCATTCCCCCACCTATAGCATGGCTGGGGTGAACCAGTGCAAGTGCAAACTGGCACTGGCATGGCAGACTCGTCAAAGTTAATTTGGTTCAAACCCAAGTTGTCCTTCCACGAAACCTGTTTGTCAAGATCATCCTCATCACAATCAAAATCATGCCCATTACTCCAACTGTTAGATGCATCCGAGTTTACTTGCTTACTAAAACTTTCGGCCCCTCTTTTACCCACCCTTGGAGGCTTTGCTGATTTTGCTAGTTTGCCATCTTTTGGTTGCCTCATTTTCCTACGCTTGGCAGTTTCAGCAGCAGTTTCTGTAACATTAAAATCATTACTTCTTGTACTTCCTCTAGAAATATATGCAGCATCAGCCATGTGCATCTGCTGTTGGTAGTGAATGTGTTTCGATCCACTTGTAATGTCGTTTCCAAGTGAATCGGGGACAGTGTTATCATTCATTGAGCTCTCCCGAAATTGCAAGGCAGCAATTGCCTCATCTCGATCTTGTATGGCAGCATTACGCTCGGCAATTGCTGCATCCCGCTGCAGCATTGCCATGTCTCGCTCTGCGAAGGCCCTCTTTCTCTCCTCCAATGCCATGTTCCTTTCTCGGATGGCGGCATCCCTCTCAGCCGTGATGGCCATAAAGGTCTTTATTGTCAAGTGATTGTGGTCCTTCCATTAATTAAAGCACATCATTAGATCCAGCTACTTCTTGTCTAGATAGCATGTGAGAGAAAATAAACACTCAGGTTAAACAAACAATGCAGAATAAAGCATGTTCACATAAATCTCTCCCCTTTTCATTCACCTATCGTACTTTCAAACAAGTATGGACACCACCAACTCTAATTGATTTTAAAATAATCCGTTGATGTCACAAACCGCTCCCCTACCCCAATTCAAAAGGCATTCTAATGTAACGATTAGATTGATGACAAAAAAGTTATTAGCCTCCAAGGCAAGAAGACACATCAAAATTATATTGGTAGGCAATTTAGATAGATCAAATTTAAGATTTTATTATTAAAAGAAACAACATCATACCATCATTAGTAGTAAAACTGAAGCTAGAAATCCATTCTGTATGGCCCTGTTCCTGCACAGGTGAAAACATGTGATAAATCAAATAGAATAGATTTATGAGCATAGTTCTTTGAATAAAACTATGCATATACAAGTGCAGTATCAGTTGGATAAAAAACCAAAGAACACCGTTTTATCAAACATTTACTTAACCCTTGTTTGATTCCCTTTAAAATTTTAATACATTTTTCTCTCTTTTTTTCAACCACACATACTTCCATTAAAGAATATTCCACGTAAATTAAAAACTTTTCCTTCTTTTTTAACCACACATTCTCCCAAAAACTACCATTCCATAATACATTTTACCCAAATTTCTCATTGTAATAGTTGTCGAACAGGGGTTAATATTTAAAAAACGAGAAACAGAAGTTTATCCTGCATGGCGACCAAATCACATGTATATTCTCTACACACGCAAAAGACCACATTTTCATATCCTATTCACAAATTAGACAAGAAAATTTTATTTAATCACTAGAAAGGAATCAAAGAAGCAGCAGAAAGAAAGCCATTTAACATGGACTGGAGTAGATGATGTAAGGTACAGGTAAAACAAGACAGCAAATCAGTACCATCCCAATTGGGTAAGAGCAAGAGAACTCATATAGACCCTAGTTCTGATCTTTGAAGATTCATGTACTTTTCGAGAAATTCCTACCTCTCTATCTATCTCTGAGATGTTTCGATTTTTCAAAACTCCATGGACATGCAGAAGAGAAATGCTATCCCCACTCGGATGGATGACGAGATTCCATTGATACAGAGCCAATTCCAATAGACTTATTGGACGGTACCTTTGGCATGCATCCAGTAGGTTAACTCTGAGACCTTGACAAACTACGATCCTTCAGCAGGACTAGACTATTACCAGAGGTTAGTTTCTTCTCTCTGTGTTTCACTATTCTTATTTTTAACTTTTTCCTACTTTCACTAGAATATTATGCTTCTCATAGTATGCCAGTCCCTTCCACTCTAACTTCCTATTATTTACCTATAATACTAAGATAACTGAATGGAACCTTATTTCAGAACTGATAGTTTACAATTCGCAATATATTATTATGTGCATTTGACATGACAAAGATTATACCTGTTTGCAACATTACAATTGTCAATAAAGTCTCTATATGTATAAAACAATACCTATTTTTTTTATTTGTCCAGACCCAGGAAATGATTTCTCTCTTATCACTTGGAACACCTAAGGAAACATGGCAATGAAGGTCATATGAACGTATGAATGTTGGGCTGGTGGTATCGAGCTTCTTTCCAGTCAACATAAAACTGTTTCCCCTAAACTATGTCCTATCATTAAAATTTTTGTTCAATACAGGTATCATTTGGTGGCTTTGAAATAAAAATTAGTAAATATTTAAGATCTATATCACACGACCAAAAGAAAACATATATTTCCTCAATACAGTGGCCCCAGAGGGACTCCTCTTAGGTTCTTTTTTAGCCATGCTCTATAACAGGTTACATGACATGAATTTCACTTCTAAAGTTGTCCAATTAATTCGTTTGAGCATTACTCCAACTGATGTATATTAATCAACAATATAGATGCAAACCTTTCTTGATCCTCAAAAAAACCACTATCGGCTATACCACTAGATAAAGCCTCACGACTCATTTCCAAAGAAAAGAAATGACCACAAATCACAAAGTTCCTAATGTTTGTTGCATATAATTGAAACTATACTGGTATGCTCAGATTGTTCATCAAGCAGGACCACATACAGACTCAGCTCAAAGGCACCGTAAAGATGAAATGTGTCGACAGTAACACACAACTTGACAATGAACAGTACCACTCTCATGCACAACACTCGATCAATTTCCAATCTCTAGCCCCCAACCCCTAGCCCCCAAGTTTAAAACCATGTAAAAATTTTGAGCTCATACAACTAATTCAGGAACCTACACTACCATCAGAACCCTAAAATATGCATTTAATCTTCAAAGTATCTCATAAACTGACACACATTCATTATTAAATTCTAACCATATGCAATTTTAACAATAAAAATTCAAAGCCGCCTAGTCATACACAGAAGCTAATAGAACCAACCAACGTCATTGTACAACACTTGAAAATTTGCCACTTCCTCTCTAACCTTTAGATGTTCCTAAACTGTAGATTTGTCCACGATCTACTATAAGGCGACAAAATGTACATAGCCTATTAAGTAAAATGGCAAGCTTAAACAATAAAGATCTGAAATTACGACAAAATACAATACATATGCTAAAGATCAAGAGCTCGGAATTAATTTTTTTTTGCAAAAAAAGTAACTCGAAATGCCAGGGTAAAATGTGAGATCGAGAAATCAGATAAAACTATGAAAATGAAAGAATCGGAGCTTACAAGAGAGATGCGGCAGCGGGGGAAGAAATTCGATGGCGGTCCCTCTTTCTCCTCCTCTCTCTCTCTCGTCTTCTTCTTCTTCTTCGTCGTCGTTGTAGAGAGAGAAAGATAGCGTGTATTTAACCGCCGAGTTGCAGAGGAATAGATGCCTCTCTATCTGTTTATGCAGAAAATGGGAATCTTTTGGTTCTATTGAACGATGTCGTTCGGTGATTTACGATATATAAACGACGGCGTTTAGGACAGGATCAGAACGGGTGTGGATTCGGATCGCATCTGGTCTGAACCACGTCTACGCCTCCGAGTTGACCGCTCCATTTTCTTCGTCAACTCTAAAATTTGTAATAATCTAATCACATAAATTTGCTTTGATATTCATCAAATGTAACTGACTGTTCTCATTTTCTTATCCTGATATTCCAATTTCTTTATTAAAAAACTTTTATTTTGTGTATATAGTAATATATCATTATTTAATTTATTTAGTTATGACGAAATTTTTTTCATTTAATCTTGAAATCGTACAAATAAAAATAAAGGTAAATTAGGAAAGTTTTTGGCAAAAACTAGTCCGTATAAAAAATAAAAACAACTTATATAAATTGAACAGAGTGAGTATTAATTTCAATTTTATAGCAAAATTAGTGAGGTTAATTACTAATAGATGCTTAAGTAATTATAACAGAGATAATTATATTCTCATCATATTTTTATTTGTTACGTCATATTTTGTTGTACTTAAGGTCACAATCTTTATTTATTGTAGAACTTATGTCCCTAATTTTTTTTTGTTCAACTTTTTATGTTCTAACTTTCACAAATTAATACATCTCGTCCTTGATGATGATTTCTGTCAAAATATTTTGTTGTGTGCTTATAAATGAGAGAGAAAATTGTTATTATATTTTTTGTATTACTAGTTTTATAATATAATGAGCAAAATAAGTCATTTTGTCATGCAGCTGATTTTTTGCATGAAATCGTTATTAAAGACGACATGTTAACATTAATATAATATTGAGAATACGAATGCGATAAAAAATAATTGGGGATATAAATGATAAAATGAAAAAATTGAGGACCTTGAGTTTCAATTAGAATGTAATTACCTGTGAATATAATTTTCTTTATGACAATGGTCATTAAAATGTGATTAATAGCAGGATACCCTCTACAAACTTGTTCCTGTACGATATACCATCTACAAACTTGTTCCTGTACAATATACCCTCTACTTATTGAAAATCGCAAAAGATGTCCATAGTTGAAACATTTTGCTCAAAATTCTCCCTGTTGTCAAGACCGGTAAGTTTAACCATTAAAAACAATAAAAAATGTCAAAATTAAAGAGAAATAATTACAATTGCAGTACCTTGACTTTTATTTTTTACAAATTATACCCAAAATTTTTATATGTGCCAATCACAATCCTAAACCATTAAAACTTCATTTTCTACTCTAACCCGTCTCAATTCATCTTGTTCTCCAGCTTCAACCAACCCATATCTTCTTCATTGCCTTCTTCCCCACCTTCAGCCATACTCACCTCACCGCACTTCATTTTCTTCTCACACTGCAAATTCTCACACTAACACACCACCCTAATCACCCCATATCTTTATCTTCCTTCCACAATAAATTTCCATCTTCGTAAATCCAAATCCACAAAACAAACCCAAAATTCAAATTCGAAAAAAACTCTTGCAATTTATTTCAGGTACGTCACCTCTTAAAGAAAGCATAATTTTAAGGAAAATAAAAAAATACTGACCTAAAGTGCTTGAACACCACAGTATGCAAAAACTACTCAAGTCATCTGGAAATCTTCAAACTTCTATGAGAAAGTTGTCTATGAAAAGAAAGACTAATACCCAAAAGGCCAATGATAATATGTAACCCAATAGCAACCTATAATAAGCCCTAATTGGATGCAAAGGGGGCAAATAAGAACATCAAATGCATAGCAACCACCACCCCTACGGTTAGGGGCGGAGCCCCATTAGGCCCAGTGCGGGCAGATGTCCGCACTGAACTTTTGGGCTCCAATAGGTCCAAAATTTTATTTTTTTTGTTTGGGTAAAGCCTGTTTAATTAAAAAGGCCCAATTTCTCGACCCGACTTCTTGAATCAGTCCGTGGGCCGTTAGTGACCCGACCCGACTTCTTGAATCAATTATAACCCGTTCAATTCATATTTCCAATTTTCAAACCCTAGCAAACTTGAAATCTTGAATCACGTCTCTCCTCCTCTCTGCTCTCAACCGGTCTCCGCCCGCCGTCGCCGCTTCTCGCCAGTCGGCAGTTGGCAGTCGCTACTCCAACTCGCAGGCGCCGGCTCAACTTCCACTCTTCCAGTCCACGGTCCACCGCTAGTCTGCTGCGAGCGTCTGCCGAGACAACCGAGTGCCACTGCTTCCGGACTCTTCAAGAAAAAATCAAAATCAAAATTTTGGTAAGCAACTTACTGAACCAGTCTATCGCTTCTGTCTTCTTATACTGAGGAAACAACTATAAAAATGGATAAAGGTCAATCTATATTTAATAGTTCGCAAGTATTGGTTCCAATTTCATTTAGAACCTGAAATGTAATATTTCGCAATTCACATGCCTGATGCCCAAGAAATTGTTGCCAAGAAAATGAGAAGCATTTGTGTGGTAATTGAATATATTAGAAGACCATATTGGAAAATAATCCATTCCAGGTTCAATTTCTGGTTCAAAATTCATCTTCTGGTGTAAACTTGTTGTATGATCTGTATTCTGCAGATTGTCACTACTCACTACCATTTCCTCCAGATAGTCCAAGTTTATTCTCCAAGTATCTTAACCATTCCCTGCATTCATCTTCACTGTCTAGTTTTTCCACAGCGTTAAAAGCCTTTGAATTTACATATTCATTTTGTTCGGTGTTCGTTGACTGAAAAGGATCCAAGGTATCCAACAAGTTCCAAAAGTCGATATCTGACTCAAAAGGGATTTCGATTTTTTCCTCTAAAGTAGTCGGCCCCTTTGTCTCCTCCGGCCTTGCGATATTACAGAAATTTGATGCATAAGAAGATGTTGAAGAATCAGAACTTGCAGTTTCTTTTGGTTCATCACTAGGATGTCTAGATATTACTTTTAGGAACTCGGGTTTCTCATTAGAACTCTAAATTATCACTTTCTTTTATTTATGTAATCTTGAAGTAAACATAAGAACAGCACCAGTAAGCATATCTTGAGTGTTTTAATTCAACGTTTATTCTAAAACTATGCAAGCGTCTGCCACTGTTCTTTAATGATTAACTTAAGGGGGTTTTGAATAATATTCAGTAAATTAATAATCTTTAGTTATTAATTAAGCATTAGATATTTGGGAACCCATTTCAATTTATATTTCAATTAGTTTTTCTTTAATAAATACTGCTGAAGTTATATTGATGCTACTATTGTTGATTATTATAGATATGTTTTCCATACAGACAAGACATTTTTCTTATTCCAGTTGAAGAGTTGAAGTTAAGATCTGAATTTAAAAATTGAGTCCCCCTGCAAAGAAGATAGTAACTGATTTTCAGATTTTGGCAATTGTGAAGTTAGATTGTCATCAATTTTTGGATCATAATAAATTCAGAAATGTAATTTGTTGAATTTTTTTGACAGCCTTCTGCCTTCTCCAATTCAGGCAGTTCTCCATATATTTCTCGAACGGTGCTGCACTCGCTCATTAGACCATTCCAATTTCTAGGTACTGAATCACTTAATGTGAAATTGTGAATTGCACTGCGAATTGAAATTGTGAAATTGTGAATTTATGATCATTTTGTCATTATGAATTATTCTCACTCACTTCAATTAATAATTGGATATCAAATGTTTAAATCCAGATATCAAATTAATAGATACTTTCAACGAAAAAGGAACGTAGATAGTGTTGATGAGGGGGTATCGAATAATGTGGATGTTGATGAAGGGGCATCGAATAATGTGGAGTTTGATGTCACAAAACTTCCAATTGATCCTGGTCTAAGGATACCAATTTTAGATTACAATGCTAACATCCGAGATGAAGTTCGAAGAGCATATATGTTAAAGGGTCCTTGTCAGCCCCAAGATCATGACTTTCCAAAATGACAATTTGGAGTAACAATTAGACGATTCAATCCTTCGTGGTTTAAAGAGTTCGGTAGTTGGTTGGAATACAGTGTAGAGAAGGATGATGCTTATTGTTTGTATTGTTATCTTTTCAGAACAAGTTCTGGAAAGCAAGGTGGAGGTGAGTCTTTTGTTGGCGAAGGTTTTACATATTGGAAAGATAAAAAAAGGCTTCATACTCATGTTGGACTTCATGATAGTGCACATAATCAAGCTCACATTAAGTGTGAAGTGTTGATGAATCAAGAGCAACACATTCAATGAGTTTTCTACAAATAATCAGAACAAGCAAGAAATGCATATGTTACACGCCTTAATGCATCCATTGATTGTGTTCGAGTTCTTTTGCGACAAGGGCACTCATTTCGAGGTCATGATGAATCTGAGGATTCTTCCAATCCAGGTAACTTCTTAGTGCAATTGCAATTTTTGGCTGCTCATAATGAAGCTATCAATGCCGTCACATTGGGAAATGCTCCTCACAATTGCAAATTGACATCACCTGATGTTCAAAAGGATATAGTAAATGCTTGTGCTATTGAAACAATCAATGTTATTATCAAAGATGTTGGCGACTCACTATTTTCTATTCTAGTTGATGAATCTTGTGATGTGTCAATGAAGGAGCAAATGTCTATTGTTTTACGTTATGTAGACAATAGTGGTCATGTCAATGAACGCTTCATAGGGATTGAACATGTTACAAGTACAAAGGCTCTATCACTTAAGGCCGCAATTGATAAGGTATTTTCTAGATATAACTTGAGTATGTCTAGATTGAGAGGACAAGGTTATGATAGAGCAAGTAATATGCAGGGTAAGTTTAATGGTCTGAAAACACTCATTTTGAAGGAGAGTCCATGTGCCTTTTACAGTCACTGTTTTGCTCATCAACTCCAACTTGCGCTTGTGGCTATGGCAAAGAAGAACATCCCTATTACTAATTTCTTTCGTGTGGTTGGGAACGTGATAAATACTGTTGGAGCATCTTCCAAGCGTTGTGATCTTCTTCGAGAAAAACAATTAGACTTTATTGTTGAGGCATTGGAAAAAAGTAAGATTTTAAGTGGACGGGGACTTAATCAAAAAACGACCCTTCAGCGCTCTAGTGATACACGATGGAGCTCACATTATAATTCTTTGGTCAGCTTGCTTGCCATGTTCTCTTCTGTTTTAGATGTACTTGCAATGATTGTTGAAGATGAATCTTGTTCTTGTGATCAAAGATCTGATGCAACAAATTTATTGGAGTTGATACAAAGATTTGATTTTGCATTTAATCTACAGTTGATGAGAAGTGTGTTGGCGATGTCAAATGAACTGTCAAAGGCATTGTAAAGAAAAGATCAAGATATTGTGAATGCAATGCAATTGGTGAGATTGTGCAAACGAAGACTCCAAATAATGAGAGACGAAGGGTGGGACTCCTTTTTTGAAGAAGTAAGTTCTTTTTGTCAACAACATTACATTCATGTACCCAACATGGATGATATGTTTGTACGCCTTGCAATTCGTGGTTGCCCTCAGCGTAATTCTCCAGAAATTACAAATTTACATCATTATCGAATAGATTTGTTCTACTCTGTCATCGATTTACAACTTCAAGAATTGAATGATCGTTTCTCGGAAGTAAATACAGAGTTACTCCTTTGTGTAGCTTGTTTATGCCCACAAGATTCATTTTCGTCTTTTGACAAAAAAAGCTTAATTAGACTTGCTGAGCTTTATCCATTAGATTTCTCTGCAGTAGATGTCATTGTACTTAGCGATCAACTTGAGACTTATATTTTGGACATGCGCACTAACAAAGAGTTTGAAGGGTTGAATGGCCTTGGTGATCTTGCGGAGAAGTTGGTTTTGACAAAGAAAGATAAGGTATATCCATTGGTTTACAGACTTTTGACTTTAGCATTGATTTTACCGGTTGCTACCGCTACTGTGGAGAGAGTTTTTTCTGCAATGAACATCGTAAAGAATAGATTGCGCAATCGGATGGGTGATCAGTGGATGAATGATAGCACTATTGTTTATGTAGAGATAGATATATTTTTGAAACTCGATAATGAAGTTATTGTACGACGATATCAAAATATGAAAACTCGCAAGGAACAGGTTTAATATATAAATTATGTCGTTTTTAGTGTTGTTGTAATATTGTTTTAATTTTTTATCATCATTAAATCTATGACCAAAACCTCGAAGTTCGGCGTCAAAAAATGATGCCCGCACTGAACATAAATCCTGGCTTCGCCCCTGCCTACGGTAGCAACATCCAAGGAATTTTACTTTCTACCCTAGTATGTATTCCTCCTCTTCACCACCACATTAGACAAACAAATCCTCCCAAATTTTGATTCTTTTCCACATTCCAGTGATGGAATTGTTATCGAAATTTTATGAAATTTTAAATTTTAATAAAATAAGAACCTAATTACATTATTGTTAAGATCCTCCATGTCAAGTCACCAAAAAAATTAATAGTACAGAACATAACTTAATTTTTTGAGAATGATTCTTTATTACTAGATGTTGATTCTATATCTTAAATCTTGAAAATCAACTTGGAATCCCTTTCTTGATTGGTTTCTTACTTTCCACCTTGAATTTTGCCTCCTAGGATTCTTTGATTCTTGTTCTTGATTTTGATTCTTGATTGAAGATTGTATGCTTTTAATTGTGGGTTTTGGGATATTCCTCTTCAATATGATTTCTCTATAGTGAAAAGGCATTATTCGTGCTAGAGAACTTGATAACAGAGAATGTAGATCATTATTTTGGATCGAACCTCCGTAATATTATCGTTTGTACTCTCTCTTCCCTTTTACTTATTGCTTTTGTATTTGTACATTTTGTTTTGATTGATCTATTCATTTTCCAACTTGCTTGAATTTGAATCAAATTTTCGAAAAGTTTTGAAAACCAATTCACTCCCCCTCCTGATTAGTTATTCTTGAGCTATCAATGACCTAAAAAAAGAATAAGAATAAGAAAAATTTTTGGTTTTTTTATATAAATGAAATTATGATTTTTTTTTTTTAAAGATTTATAAAAGAAAGAAAAGAAAATAATTCTTTTTTGTAAATTGTGGGTTGACCATAGTCAAACCCTTTTTTTTTTTATTTTGGGAAAATTCTTAAATGTAATATTCTATATGCAATGCATTAACACAAAATTAAAAAGTGAACGTTAAAAATCTGAGTTGCTTTCTATAAATTCTTGATTTATAGTCTGAAGTTCAACTCTGGATAATGATTTTTCATTGCACTTTGAATATGACTTTGGAGTCTTGTTTACCTTTCGTAGATTATTTTCACCACACTTTGTACATCCTTCAAAGTTACTCAATTTGAACTCAACTAAGAATTCTCCAATTTTTTCATCTGCTTTAATCACACCAATGAAGTTGGAGGTTTGCAAGCTAATTCTATCTTCTTTGAATGCCACTGATTCGTTTGGTTCCATCATGATTAATTACTTAATTTCTACATATTCGTTTTTAGTTGTTGATTCCTCAAGTCAAATTGATCCTCGTAGCTCATCAGGATTTATTTGAGCTTCAACCTTTCCATAATTTAGCATGGCGAAAACATCTCCCACAAGTATATCATTGACATCATCTTCTATTACATGTGGATTATACTAATAGATTCTAAAGCTTTATTTATTTATTTATTTATTATTATTATTAATTTTTCTTTTTTTTTCTTTTTTTTTCTTTTTGTGGAGTGGTCAATAACAAGAATTTTTTTCTAATCCAAAGTCCCCACAATATTCACAAGTTAGTCGCCTCTCCTTATTAGCCCCCGTTTGAGCCCCATTATTTGTAGATTATAATGAGATGAATAGTATTTTTTTGAAAAATGAGTGGTTGAAAAGTTTTTGATTTACGTGTAATATTATTTTATTGAAGATTGTGTGGTTAAAAGTAGGAGAGAGAAAATTTTAATTTAATATAATGAGAAATAATGGGGCTCAAACGGGGGCTAACAATTGGTTGGATAAATAATTCCAATTGCAAGTCAAGCTTCTCAAGTTCGACAAATGGATTGTATACATTCATGGCAAAGACATCTATTACAAGTATATCATCGTCATCAAGTATGTGATGAGTGTGTCTTACTCATCAAGTATGTGATGGCAAAGTCCCCACTCGTTTTATTCTTAAAGTTTTATGACTTTTTAATGAGCGTTTTTAATGTTGTTTTATAGGTTAGTTAAATTGGTGTGAATGGTGTAAAAATTGAAGAAAAGAGTGATGCTGGCATGAATCAAAGAGAAGTTGATGTTAATTTAGAGAAGCTTGATGATTAGAGGCTAAATTGAAAAAAATAAGTGAATAACGACAAAAAATCGTAAATCCAAAGTTCAAGGACTCAATTGAAACTTTTTGATAGTTGATTTGGACCACAAAATGATAATTGAAGATTGTTACAATCATCCAAATGCAATTAGAATTCAAAAAGAAGTAAAATATGATCAAAATATTTTAAAAATCAATTTTCAACCGCGTAGGTATGTTCCAGATTTTTAGCTGGAGATTGAGACCCATTTTTAACATAGTAATGGTTTCAATTGGAAAAAGCTATCTGAATTAAAGTTAACTTTTCAACACATTTTGAATTGCCTCAATCGGATATTGGGAAAAAAAAGTTATGACAAAAATAATAAAAGATGCATAGTGCTATTTTTCCACCCAAAAATGGGCATCGTAGTGCTATTAATGCTAAAAATAAGTAGCATCACAGTGCCATGCAGATGGCATTGCAATGCTATCGAGCAAGAAAAAAATTGAATTTTTGAACTCTTTTCTTAGCCCAGTCCAACCCTAACTCTTCCAAAATTTCATGGTGATATAAATGCAACCCTTCAACCACTTTTGAAGGACAATTCAACCAGACAAGAAGGGGCCAAAGTTCAAGAAATCAAGGAGGTGGCAAAGGTTACATGGCAAAAAAGATTGATTCAACCATCTAAAAACTAGTTTTATCTTTTTTCTCTTCATGTTATTCTTTACAAATTGTATGGATTTCATGTCTTATAACATGAACTAAACATCAAATCTAGGATTTGATTAGCCAAAACTTGAGGATATGATTTTATTTTATTTTAGTTAATTCTATAGAAATTTTCTTTCCATCTATTTGTGTTAATGATTTAATACTTTCAATTAATTGGTTACTAACTGAATGATTAGATGCTAGTCAATTACGGCACTTTAAAGAGGGGAATTTAGATACAATCATAAAAATATCACAACCTAGGTTTTATAAATTTTGAGAGAGTATAATTCCTTTGATGCTTCCATATAAGAATCATGAACTTAATAATTCTTTGATTTTAATTCGGAATAGAGATATTGAAATTAAATTCTAGGAATAGTATTTACTCGGCACGAGATAGAGAGAGAGTAGAATTAGATTAATATTCTTGCTTAGAAACGTGCAAAATTGATTAGAGTTAACTATGTTTTTTAAAATCATATTTGATAGTTAGGTGAAATAATAATACTAGGCTTTTTCATCTTGATTATTCTTCTAACTTGTATTTAATGTTAAATTTGTCACCATATTCATCATTAGATTAGTTTAGAACCAATCGTTTTATAATTTGACTTTCTAGATAAAATAAGAGCTATTCAATTATAGTACCCAGTATAAAATTGATATTCAATCAAGATGAAAAAGCCTAGTATTATTATTTCACCTAACTATCAAATATGATTTTAAAAAACATAGTTAACTCTAACTTGTATTTAATGTTAAATTTGTCACCATATTCATCATTAGATTAGTTTAGAACCAATCGTTTTATAATTTGACTTTCTAGATAAAATAAGAGCTATTCAATTATAGTACCCAGTATAAAATTGATATTCAATCCCTGTGAGTTCGACATTCGTACTTGCTCTTATTTTACAAAATTTGACATCGTACACGTGCGATATATTTACATTATAGAAAACTCGTGATGGTATGGCAAGTGGATTATATCTATTCTTTGTGAAATATCTCCTACAAACATATCGTTGTCATCTAAGTTTGGATAAATTAATGCATATTTTTGCTACTCGCTACTTTTTGTTACCTGTCAATGAAATTAAGAAAAAAAGTAGATCGGTTAAAAAAGAAAAAATAAAATAAAAATTAGAAATAATTTAAACCAATATTAAATAAAATAGTGCCCGACAAATGCGTCACAAACATGTTGTTGATTTTATATCATGTATGGATAGTAACAAGTAATAAAGTGGACCTAAGTCCGAATGATCGTTCCTACTAGGATTACTATTTAACCATTGGTTATACTATTTCTAACTTAAATTCGATTAAAAAATAGAATTAGTATTAATTTTTATCCTAAATACTATAATTCTACGAACAAATAAAAGTAATTTCTCCATCAATCAAAAATTTCCACGTCTAGATACAATTAATCATGACTTTTGTGCTCAAAGTAATTCAAGATCTTACGATAGATAAGCAATTTTTGAAAGATTTTAGTCACAAATAGCATATTTGGTAATATATCATGAGTCAACAACAATTTTAAACATCATACAATCCTAATCAGGCGAGCTTTCCCCAAAACTCAAACCACACATTGTCATCAATATGTAGTAAACAAGATAAAAATAAAAAATAAAAAATAAAAAATAGGAAGGTTAACGAAACATACTCGATTAGACATTTGTGAAGAGATACCAATACTTGAATTGGACTTGCAATGCTTTCGTTGAACTTGGGCAAGTGACCTTCTTGTAAACCAATTTACCCCCAGACTTACTATGAACTATGTATGTATCGAAAATACCTACAATAATGATAGCTAATCAAATAAAAATTTAAAAAAAAATGCATAAAATTAAATAAACAGATTAAAAGTTAAAAATTTGTTGTCACTCCCACTTTATATCGATAATCATACACTAAGCTGTGTAGAAGTGAAATTGATTACTCAACATAGACACAGGACTTCACACTTCTCTTTTACTTGATAAAATAAAATAAGCATTTTCACAATAAGGTCCCTGTATATTCTCGTCTGGCCATCTATGATGTACATATGGTATGTTATGACTAAATATTGTATAACCAAATTCCAACATATTTATTTGGAAGATTTCAAAAATATCTATCATGTCATTTCAAAAGTCAATCTCCAACATCCAGATTATTCTATTTCTCTACCACAGCTCAATGTAAAATTCACCACCTAAATTGAGGAATAAAGGACTAGCACCCTATCAGGGTCTTAAAACCTCAATGATCGAATGCACCATTTTAAGAGAAAGCAATTAGAAAAATTGATGCAATATGCAAATGACATTGTAAATAGCATAAAATGCATAAATCATATTGGCCAAAGATGTAATGTAAAGTTCGGGGTATTACAATTGGGCTGTATCCCTACATGCATTTTTTTATTATCTTTAACTCGACTTTGGTGATTGAATCATGGGCACCTAAAAAAGGCTTTGGATACATGACCCATTTTTCTTCATTTGGCTTTATTCCACTTCTCATTTGATCTCCACACTTCTACCTTGCTTTTTTCAACGTAGTAAAAGCCATTCTATCCGATTCAAACTCAGTAATGCATATTTTCACCTCCTCATCGGACTTAATCACAAAATCAACTTATACGCAATCAATGAAGTTGAAAGAATGTATGTTGATGTCATCTTCATTGATTTCTACATTTTCAATATTTTTTTTGTGATTAAGTTATCATTCACTTTTGACCCTTTTATAACTGTTGATATTTCTTCATATTGAATGATCGATCCACAATGTAAATCCACGGGCAGTGAGTCTCATTGACTCCTTCAAGTGGATTATATCCCATTGTTGAAATCTATTCTAGTACATGGAATCTCCTATAAGCATATCGTTTTCATCCAACTTAGCAAGTTCTTTAAAATATTTTGGAAGTACCTTCTCACTTAATTAGGGAGGATCATATCCCACAAGCTTGATATCCTCATCCCAATCATCAAGTACAAAATCTCCCACGTGCATATACTCTTTATCAGATCTATCAATTGCTTTTTATTGACACGTCAAGTATTTTTGAAATCTTAGAAGTTTCGACGTGTGTAAACTAATGTCAGAGAACAAGCACTGCTCAATACAACGGTGTAAGCAATTTTCACAACTTAATATTCTCCAAGCATATCTTGACTGTCCATATAGAGATTATCCATTGCAAAAATTTTGTTACTTCATCAAATTAGAATCAAGCAAAAAAGTACAGAGAGAAAGTACAACACACATGATAGATTAGCAACACGAAGCTTAGCCCATGTATACAAAATAAAAGCAATGTTACTTTTATGCCACTAAGTAAACTGTAGCTTGAAATCAAATTGAACCGCAAAAAATATTTTAATTTTGTTTGGTTTGAATTTTTTTCCAAAATTTAATATAAATGGCTTGATTTGAACCTAGACTAAAATAAATAAAATTAAAAATTGCCCAGATTGAACCTATTCACCTGATGTATTAAAAATCGATTTTGTTTATTTGCAAGTAAAAAAATTAATATTTTTAGGTAAATTAGTGTTTTCTCTTTGAGCATGTTTAGCTAATTTCAATGTAGTGGTTTTTAAATTTATTAATGAAAAAAAATTAACTACCCTTAAATTTACTTTTTCACTTAGGGTGCGTTTGATTACAAGTAGGAAAATTACATAGAAAGAAAATGAATTCCAGGGAATTGAATTACCTAGAAATTGTTTTCATGGAAATTGTAAATTATTGTGTTTGATTGTATAAATTTTTCACGTGAAAAATGTTGAAGTAAAAGTATTTTTTGATGTTCGTTTGACTTTGTTTTACGTGGAAATTGTCAATTTCAGGGATATCCTCTTTTACAATTATTCCTAAAATTTGTTCCCATTGCCAACAATTAAAAAAAAAATAAAAAAAGTAAAAAATAAAAAATAAAAATAAGGTGGAAAACCAAAAACCACCTATCCCCTAGGAAAAAAAAAGTTGGAAAATCACGCTTTAAGGTGTTGTACCTAGAAATTCATGGAAAATCAATTCCCTGGAAAATTTTGTCAATCAAACAGGCCAAAAGTGGAAGTTGGAATTCGAATTCCAAGTTCCATGGAAAATTTCGTGTAATCAAACGGGGCCTTATAGTAATTTAAAAAGAAAAAAGAAAAAAAAAGGTCAAATATACTTAAGTCATCCTCTATCTATTTTTTCTTTTGTACATGAAAACACTTTTTTCTACAATGTTTCTTGATTTTTTTTTAAAATTTTTAATTCCAGTTAACAAACGATAAAGTCAAATATTAATTTCAAAATTTCAAAATTGATTTCATAAATTACTTAAGAGTCATGTTTATCAAAACGAACTTGTTACAAACTTAAAATAAAAATTACTAGATTGAAGACATGAATTCGCAATGTTCATCTTTAAAGCTCTCATAAGTTGTCGAAATTACCACCATTTTACCTTCTTTAACTCACATTACAACCATATATTGCTAAATTTCAATCCCATAAAGATCCCAATTTGAAAATCAATAAATTCATTAAATTTCAGTCCTTAATTTAACCAAGAAAAAACACACCCATAAAACTGGGGCTCAACTGAAAAACCAGGCCCTGTATTCTCTGCAGATAAGGATAGCAATTTGAAAAAATCAACGGTTCTAATAGAGCCACTTGTACATCTCGGATCTCTCATCGCGCTTTCTCTTGATCCGGGACAGTTCACGATGACCAATCATAATGCAGAATATCTTTCCACGTGGATCGGCTGGTGATATAAATAGTAAAATGTATGCCAGCATTTTTGCTCAAAGCGATTCATTAGAATTCTCTAGAGTTTCATTTGTGAGTTTTCGTGATGTCGGCTACAGTAGAAAAGAATCTCGCCGAGGAACAGCCGCAGCCAGCGGAGGAGAAAACTGTCAAAGAGAAGAAACCGAAGGTCCCTAAGGAGAAAAAGCCTAAAGCTACAAAAAATGCCTCCCATCCTCCTTACTTTGAGGTATAACTTATTTGTATGTCTTTCTGAAATAGATTATAGTTTCTGTGACTTCTAATGAATTGAAATTGTGAAAAATGGGATATGAATTTTGCAGATGATTAAGGAGGCTTTGGTGGCACTGAATGAGAAGAGTGGATCGAGTCCATATGCAATTGCAAAGTACATGGAAGACAAGCACAAGGCAGTGCTTCCTGCAAATTTTAGGAAGATTTTGGGTCTCCAATTGAAGAACTCTGCAGAAAAAGGAAAACTGATAAAAATCAAGGCTTCATACAAGTTAAGTGAGGCTAAACCCGCTAAGAAGGAAGCAGTAAGGAAGCCGAAAACATCTGCTACGGTTAAGGCCAAGAAAACTGAAGGGGTGAAGAAGGCGAAGAAGGCGAGTACAGCAAAGCCTAAGCAGCCAAAGAGTATTAAGCCTAAGAGGGCTAAGAGGGGGGTTGCCTAAATAAATGGGTGTGTTTTTATGTGAATATTGTGTGTGAATAGAATAGTATTAGTAGTAGTTGGTTTTTGTTGCATCACAAACGAAGTTTCTAATGAATAAACTTCCTTACGTTGAAATCAGTTTTTATCATTTTTAATTTAATATGATAAAAAAAAAAGATTAATATTGATTGTTTATATCAGTTTATACCCCTTCAAAGAATGAGTTGGTGATAGGAGTTAATGTATTTTTTGATTAAATTTGCGGAAGTTCATTTTGAGATCTTTGAATCAATGATTACTTTTGTTTACCGAACAATCAATCAAAATGGCGTAGACCCACAATAAATATAGGGTTGGTTTATGGGTACATAAGGGTGTGGTACTGGACACCATTGTGTACCAACCCTTATGTACCACAAGGGTTTTTCATAAATATATTCATTTTGGTTGCTTTTCAATTTCATTTATTTGTGATGATTTACAATCATAAAGACAAGAAGAAAATCAATGAAGCAATGTTTAAAAATGATCAAAATAAAGAACAGTCAATTAATCTACTTGTACGAAGTAGGTAGATAAAATTTGTTGACAAAATAAGTGTTGGTAAGATTTAGGTCGTTGATTTGTTCTGATTTCAAAATTTGGTTTTGCAATAAGTAATATAGATTTTGTTTATTTATGTTTTGCCAATCTTTTTTTTACACATAGCATTACCCAAGAATGGTTAATGGTTTTGGAGCACAAAGCAAACTGTTTTTTCTATTCTCAGCCTTTTATTTTTTAACTCCCTCGCCCCCAACCAGTCACACACTCCAAAAAAGTGGCTAGAGCAAGCAACATGTGTGTGTGTGAGAGAGAATAAGTTAAAACTCTAATTGGGCTCCGAGACGGATGGGCTAGGACGCAAGATTCATCCAAAAGGTAAATATATGGATCGTGAGCAGCATTAAACTCAACAAATTTTTACTTTGATATTCAATCAACAAATAATTAATAAAATTGGAATCACATATCTTAACTCATGTTTTACATAATATTTGCTCTGTATACTTATCAGAGTTTAGATAAAAAATACTCAAGCAAGAACAAGTAATCACAGTAATCAATTAAATGCATATACAGCATGTGATGGAGATATAACATGAGATAACACACGGATCTTTTTAAACATGTTCACAAAGAACATCGAACTAAAACCAAGTTAATCAATCAAACAGCCAACACATGTGCAACAAATGCATATATGGTAGAGATAAAGCGACAGACACATAGGGAGGTGTGCCTGCAAATTTGGATTTTATTGGCAGGGGCAACTTACCTTATTAGATAGGGGGAGCCCCGGTTGGGCGAGTGTCACGATGAAGAAATCCCTTCCTTTAAAAAAGCCCTTGGTATGGGGAGAGATCAAAAGAAAGGGGTATTTTGGTAAAATAGAGGGCTCTCGCAGGTCCCACAGAGAGATCTCACCACACTTATTCTATCCATTCCTTGTTACTCGTACCTCGAGAGCACAACATGTCCACCATGTTTACTAGACTAGTTACTAACATATATCTAATTGGTAAACCACAATAGATCTTATGTCTACCGGATAATCATCTATAACCACCTCACTTCTCTCAACCTAAGTGGATAATAGGTTTTCACTTAACAGAAGTGATAGAAGTTTCACTTTCATACTCCACCTGATCAGAGTCTTAATATATAAATCAGACATTTGATCACCTTTGTACTCATGATCCAAATGTCATTCTCCACATTGCTTGCGCATATCACCAACACAACCTTAAACATCTAATCCACATAATCAAAAGACGCACAACACACGTACTGCTAACACATCGTAAATCCATTGACAAATCGACACCTTTGACGATCACAAAGGGTTTTCAAAAGACTGTTTAAATATGAACACTAGAGTCAACCATTAAAATTATGTTCCAAGAGGTTCTTTAAATTAACATTTTGATTTAGAGAGTGAAATTTGGAGAGTCAAACTTACTCTCTATATTTAAATGTATTCAAAGTGCTACAAATGTCAATATAGGAAAATAAAAAAATAATTTAGAAAAAACTAGTTGAAATAAAATATAAAGAAAAATAATAAATATTTTTTATGAGTAGTAAAATTAAGTATTAAATATAAAGAGATTGTTGGAATGTTTCAAAATTTGAACTCTCTGAATTTATAAATGCTTTCCAAATAATATAATATGTTCTTTAAAAATAGAGAGCCTCTTGAAAATGCTCTTAGGACACAATTTAAATCGACACACTCACCACAAGATTACTCCAAGATCAAAGCTTAAGAGGTCCACAAAGGATTTATCCCATAAAAATTAAAACGAATAGTGATGGTGACACTCACAAAGAAAATAGAAGAAAGAATTAGTAGTAGAAAACATCCCTAGAAACATTTTCATGTGCGACATATCCCCTACTTATATTGAAAATCAAGGAAAATCCCCTTGTTTGAAATCTTTTGTGGGAAAAACCCAATGCTATCAAGATTCGTCAAATTTATCGTTAAAACCAATAAAAAATGCCAAAATTAGAAATAATTGCAATTTCAGTAACCAAGCATTTTTATTCTTTTACAAATTAAATCTAAGGGGGTGTTTAGGCATTTTTATGTAAAAATGCATTTTAGAATAATAAATTGATGTGAAATGTGTGATTGAAAAATTAAAAAAAAAAATTATTTACGTGTAATATTATTTTAATAAAGAATGTGTTATTGAAAAAGAGAGAGAGAGAAATGCATTTTGAAGAAAATAGTTACCAAATGAGCTCTAAATTTTTTATGTGTCACCTACGATCTCAAATCTTCCACTTCATCTTCTTACCCAAAAATACAAATTAGTTTAATCATTTTATGTTTCTGAAGTTAACAAATTTTTTCCAAAAACTCTTCCAAGGTGAATTATTTGGAGATGATCGACTAAAATATCTCAAGTTTCGATGAGCTGAGAAAACTCATAGGCAAACTCAAAAGAATTTTAATCTCAAATTTTTTATAGAAAGAGAAAATCCTAAGCCAAAAATGCAACTCTATGAAAAAATTCTAAAAAAAAAACTCTTTCGAGTCACCTCTAGGACGTACCAAATTCTTTTGAAAAATTGTAGCCCGAACTAAAGTTCGATTTGAAGGAAATACACAAGCTCGATGTAGGTTCAAAATCTTCTGATAAAATAATGCAGAAACTGAATACCTGGACGGACGTTGGCAAAATGAAAGCTTGGCGTAATATCATTTTCAAAGAAATATCACAAAAATTTTGAAAATATGGAAAAGTGGAAAATACCTTAATTCTCAAATCGCTTTTATAAAGCTAAGCAACGATTAATTTCAAATATTTGGACACTGCATAGGTGATTTTGGATGGAAAAGAAGGGGTGGAAGGACGACAACGACGAAGTGGAGCAAGGCTGGGTCGACGACCTAGGTGGTTTTGATGGGTAAGGAGAAGTTGGTGGTTTGGTGCTTTCCCGCAACGGTGGTGCCAAAAGTTATGTCGGCACTACAGACATGCTTAGACCCCGTTTCGTAACAATTTTTCACCAAAAAAATCAATTTTTTGATCGTTATTTTACTATTTTAGCTGTCATTTTTTACTTCTTCACTCACACAAGTGAGATCCACTTTTCTCTCTAATAATTAAAAAATCAATTTTCATAATCACTAATGAACATGCTCTTAATAAAAACTTACTTTTGGAACTAATTTCAACAAACTTGATCTTCCTCCATTTTTGATAAGTACATCAAACCTAAATTCAAATAATTTTCTTCTAAACGAGTTTTTCATTTTTTTTCCTTTTTGCATCGATTCTTTATCTTTTAATCTTTTATGAAGTGGGGATGGGGATGGGGATGGGGATGGCTTTTGAAGGAGAGAACCCTTTTTTATTTTTTCCTTATGTTTTTTGGTTTTATTTATTGATTTATTTAATGTGGTAATTTTAAAGTTATCATTTTATCACTTTTAATTTTAATTTGAGTGAAGTCTCAGTTGAATTTTTTGGGGAAAAAGCAAAATAAAGTTCCAAAGATTTGGAATTGTAGCTGACACATAAAAATTTTGGATTTAATTTGTAAAAAGGCAAAAAGTTTGGATATCGAAATTACAATTATTCCATTTTAATGTTGGAATTTTTTATTGTTTTAAACGACAAATCTGACAAATGTTGATAGCATGAGAGTTTTTCGCATAAAAGGTTTCAAATAGGGAGGTTTTCTACGATTTTCAATAGATAGGGCGTATATCGCATATGAAAATGTTTCTAAGTGGGTTTCTACTATTAATCCTAGAAGAAAGAGTTTGTTACTTCACTACACTCGCAAAATATGCTTACAAACAAAAAGAGGATAACACCCACACATAATTACTCCATATAATCTCACATACCACACAAACTCACAAAGATAAAGGAGAAAACAACAACCTCTCTTTTTCTCACTACCATACCTTCTAATACCACTCACGGAGCAAAAGGAACATGCCATATATCTTAGCCAACTATTCACGCAAACAAATTATACAAAGTACTAAGATCACTTTCAATTAACACACATTAAATAGATTGAAAGTGTAATATATAACAATGCAATATAATCAAGCAATCATACATAGATAGAAAGAATTACAAACAGATGTTCATGCTATAACTAGGTTTACCCTCAATAAGCCCCACAAGAGTCATAACTCAACCCAATGACAAACATTCGCCTCATCATTATTTTATCTATTTTTCAGGAAAATATGGTCACGTGACCAAAAGTTGGAAAATAGTTTTTATGGAAAAAAAAAATATCAATAAAACACCTCCAAAGTAGGAATTTGGACAGAAAATTAACAATTTCTATGAAAAATAAGGTGAATCATTTTTTTTATAGATAAATTGGATAGAAAATTTTAAATTTCTATGAAAAATAAGGCCAATAAATTGTTACAATATTTTTTTTATTTTATTTATAGATAAATTTTCTTATACGTAATTCACTCAAAAGTAATTTTTTACTAAGAAGTGATTTTTTTAATAATAAGTAAAATTTACGTATTAGTTTATTTTTCCTTGCGAGTGATCTTTTTAGGTAAACGTAAGTTATTTGTTAACTCAGGAGTAATTTTTTTACTCATATGTAAATTGTAAAATTATATATAATTTTTATTAGTGAATGATTACTCATGCAATTTTTTTCTTATACGTAAGTTTTTACCCATTGGTGACTTTTTACATTTATATGAATTTTTGCTTACAATTGATTTTTTTAGTTGCAAGTCATTTTGTTTTAACTTGTAAGTAAAATTTTGAGTTCTTATTTTTTATAAGTAAATTTATGTAATTCAATTTAACTAATGTTTTTTCCCCCATAAAATGGTGAATATATAATAAGATATATATCCAATCGCGCCAAATGCAAGATAATAATTAGATAGGATTAAATACAAACGTGCCCTCACTCAAATGGTTAATTCATGCAAATGGATTTTTGGAGACCAGAAGTGAGATGCATTAGCTAGAGACTTTTCTACTGTTGAAATGACTTGATCTTTGTGGACTAATGTACTCTCAAACTGTTGATCTTGTTTGCTTCAAGTTCAAAACAAAACCTCAAGGACACAAAAAAAGATAGATGTGAATTCAAACCGAAATCAACTCCTGTTTGATAGCAATTTTTTACCTTAAAAAATTGATTTTTTTGACAATTATTTTACTATTCCAACGATCATTTTTTACTTCTTCACTTACAGGGATCCACTTTTCTCTTTAACGATCAAAAAATTAATTCTCATAATTACTACCGACTCTCAATTTGTGTAATTACCTAGACTGACTGATTTATTTATTTCAATGACATAGTAGATGTGCAAGTAATTATGTCCTTTCCTTCCTTATCAAGGCCTTAGATTAATACAAATACCCAAAATGATGCTTCATATCGGTCATGAGATTACATTTCATTAGATTCCATCTCACATTTCAATTTCAAGGCCCAATCACTAACACTCGTGATTGAGATTGAGATTGACAATTTGACATTGAGATTGAGATGAACATATTATATTTTTAAGTTAATAGTCCTTACATAAGGTTTTGTCCAATAAATAGAGACCCTTCTCTTTGACTTCTATACGGACCAACCACATATTCAATAATATTTATTACATTTAACATCCATCCATCTTCTCCAAACTTACGGAATGATCAAATGAAACAAATCAATGCAAAACCAACTTCCATCATGCATCTCTGAAATTTGTGAAAATTTCACCATTAGTTATTATCATTAAAATTCAAGATTTCCTACTTCAACACAAGCATAATATTTTTGGGTGGTTAAATTTTCACTCGGTGGAATCCCAAGGATAATTGGAGATTCTTGATCAAAGATGATGTTCAAAAGTTTCTCATGTTAACAAAATAATAAAGAAAAACAAAAAGTGTTGGTATAATTTCCTAGGGCCAAATTTGAGATTCTTGAAAAGCAAAAGCATAACCAAATTCGACCATCTAGATTCTAGAAAACTTACACCCTTAATCCCTCATTTCCTGAAAGATTAGCATGCACTCGTCAAAAGCCTT